GCCCACCCCCCGCAGCCCCCGCCCGTCCAGCTGCTTGGCCAGCAGGTGCCCGAAGCCGGAGTCGCAGCCCGTGATGAAGACGTGTTTGTCCGGGAGGTTCCCGACCACCTGCCGCTCCCGGTACCATAGGCACAGGATGTATAGCACCAGCAGGGCCGCCAGGTACAGCCACATTGTTACAAATCCCTTTTGCCTGCAACTGGAATAATCCCGGATTTTCTCAGTGACGGTCCCAGTCTTATCGCCCTTCATCTGATCTCCCCCATTCCAGGCTTCTGGGTCGTGCAGCCCCTGGAAAGCAATGACCCCCGCTCTGGGGTGAGTCACAGACGCCGGAGGAGAAGAACTGTTCGGAAGAACACCTGGTTCTGCCCAGAGTTGCCGCCTTGCCAGATGTTGTTTCTTGAACAAGAGGCCTCTCCTTCTCCAAGACGTTCTGCGTGGACAGAGGAGCTGTTTCGGCAGGCTCTGAGGAGGGTCACCTGGGAGCAGGTCGCAAGGCGTCTACCACCGCTTACCGCCTTCTCCCGGCTGCGATTCTATGTCCAGGCAAACCCTGCTAGCACCCTCCCAGCATGGAGATGGGCACCCACGTGCACCCGTGGGCTCCTCAGGGCTTTGGCTGAGTGAAGCCGAGGGACAAGACCGGGTCCTGGTTCCTGGGAGGACCTGAAGGGACCCCGTGCTCGCGAGCAGACCAAAGCTTCCCACCTGCCCCCACCAAGGTACAACAGACGCCTGAGCTGAAGTTGTGTTTGCTTAGAGAAGTGGAGCCTCCTTTACCTGTGCTCTATAAAGGAATAGTGCACACACACACATGAATACACACATGTGTGCTTGCACACACAGATCACCAAGGAACTGACCTCTTTACATCAGTGTTCGTGGCAGGATGAGGTGGGAGCTGGGTGAGTGCAATGCCCCTGCGCAGCCCGGCTCAGGCGGTTCCTTACTTTGGCAGTCTGTGTCCCAGCCCTGGAGACCCCTGGCAGGGCTCCTGTTCCCAGGCACTTGGCAGACTAACTGAAAGGGGAAATCCTACCTGCACACGGGTCTCTGCACCCTTTTACTCAGGTCCTGTCCCGTGGATCATCCTGGTCGGGGCTGCGATGACTAGTAAAGCATGAACAAGTGCCCCAGGTCAGGAGGGAATGGAGATGGTGGAGGGAGGAGCTGAAACAACTGCCAGGAAGACATGTAAATGTGTGTCTTGGTGTCAACATTTGTGCCTGAGGAGGGAGGCGGATCGCAGGTGTCCTCCTGCGTTCTCCTTTCCTTGCACCTTTGCTCTGGTTGTTTATCTCTGCAGCAAGGAGGAAAAGCCAGGAGATGTCTAGACCTCTCACTCGTCCTCCTGACCCCAGCAGATGGGAGAGACTTGCTTTGTGTGGCCTTTGCTGAACCAAGGAGCGGAGAGGGGCAAAGGCACCAGAACCAGCGCAGCCCGGCTCATTCCCACCTGGTGGGAGCAGGAGTAAGTGCAGATATAACCCTGGGGGGAAGCTAGCCCTCTTCCCCATCCCCGGTATGGAGGGGGCGCCATGGGTCAGAGAAGGCGCTGACTGCAATGAGGGGGATAAGGCAAAATGCCGTGTTAATTAAAACTACAAACACATTAAAGACATCACATACATACACACACACACACACACACACACACACGCTCACAATCCCCCTGCAGATGTTATAGTTGCCAAAGTCCATTGCTCACTGCTACACTTAGGTGGCCAGCCTAGCCAGCATGAGAGATTAGGAACGGGGCGTACAGACGCATCTGTGTCCCAGTGAAGTTTTTGCAGAGTGTCTCCCACTTCTTGCTGCTAAGTCTCTCTCCTTTATAGGGGTTATCAGGTTGGTGTTGGGTGTCTGGTCCACCTTTCCTGACTAAAGTACAATAGCAAGTTTAATATATAAGAGCAAACTTAAAATTGCTAACTAAAAATCCCTACATAGGGAGGGCCTGATCTGCCCTCAGCCCTGGAGGACAAACTTCACTGAACGTTGTCTCCCGAAGTGCCTGTGGCTGCCAGCTCCAGACAGCTGCCCCTCCATGGGCGTCCCAGATCAGCCTGGGCACATCCTGGGAAAACGCCCAGTGGGGAACCTGAGGAAGGGGGTTTCATTGCCTGTGGATCAGGGTGTCCCTACAGCTCATCACTACCTGCACTGGGAGGGAAAGCGGCCTGGCCTAACCAGTCTGTGCATGCAGTCGCCCAGAGAACATGAACCCCCGCCCTCCAGTGCCCCCATAGAGTCCCCAAGCTTCGGTTTTTCACCTGCCACCTTTATTTCTTTGTTACACCCAGAACAGCGTCTGCCCCATCCCTGCATCATGGAAGCGTCGCCCCAGCTTCTCTTGCCCTTCGCTGGAACACCAGTCACCAAGCAAGGCCACTGCGTGGAGCCAAGTCTGGGGGCAAGTGTCCAGCCCGCCTGGCTCTTCCAACACCCCCTTCTTCTGGCAAAGGTGTGTAACAGCAAAAGACAAGGACCCACACAACTCCCTCCCCACCACCCCACCTTGTGAAGCTCCCATGTCCCGTGCTCAGAGGTGTGAGCTGCTGCTGCCCATGGCCCCTTGCAAAGCGCAGCCCAGCAGTGTTTGGATTTCAGGTAAAGAGCGGGTGCACCTCCCACAAGTAGTGCTGGGACACCCCGATAGCACCCAGGGCATCTCCCCTGCACAGCTCCTAGCTCCTGGGGACCTCGCTGCCTAAATGCCCTGGGCAGGCTTGGGCTGGTAGCAGGTCAGCACAAAGTCTGCCCACGAGGTCGGCAGGTAGCTGAGTGGGAGATAGAAGAGCTTGGCGTCCCAGCCGCAGGAGTAGCGGGTGCGGGGGTGCTGGGCCGTCAGCGCGTGCTCCATGGCGTCGGTGACCAGGCGGAGGTTGTCACTAGGTAAGATGCGGATGAGCTTTCTGGTGGTCTCAAAGTCTGTGCAGATAAAAAATCTGTCTGTGAGCAGCCCAGCTGGGCTGGGCTGTGGGAACAAGCAGCACAAGGCACAGGGGAGCCCTAGGGATAATCTTGGCACCATCGCAGCACCGGGGACCAGTGCTGGACCCTCCTCACACCCCGGCCCAGGGACCTGCCACTCGGACTCACAGCGGTTAAAGTACTGCTCCCCGTAGGCCTCCTTGACCTCGGCAGGGGCAGAGCTCCACACTTGCTCCAGGCTGCTCAGGACGTCCTGGGAGGTTGACATGGGTGTTCGGAAGCCGCCTGGCTCGATGATGGAGACCTTGACCCCGAAATTGCGGAGCTCGCGCCTGAAATGGAACCGGCAGAGTGAACACGGGTTGAACCATGTTCCCGCCACAGCCTTTGCCAGCACAAGCATGGCTGGTGCGTCCTTGTGAGGAGGCTGAGGAGAGTTAGCTGGGCCAGGCGGTACCCAGGAGAGGACCCAGGCCAGGGGGGCTTCAGCCTGCATACCTCAGGCTGTCGGAGAAGGCCTCCACGCCGTACTTAGAGATGCAGTAGCCCCCTGCATTTACAGACAACCTGCCTCCTATGCTGGTCACGTTGACAACGCGGCCCCGGGCTCTGCGCACCAGGGGCAGCAGGCTCAGCGTCACCTCGATCAGCCCCACCAGGTTCACATCCAGCACCCTGACGAAGTCAGCCTTGCTCAGCCACTCGTTGTGGCAAACGCATCCAAAGACCCCCGCGTTGTTCACCAGACCCCAGAGCCCTGGAGAGAGGAGACCATGAGAGCGCTGGGTCAGCTTCTTACCTGGCCGCATCCAGCTCCCAGAGCTGGAGCTCCATGGCTCAGCCCTTGCCCTGTACCTCCCCTGCGCACTCTGGTGGGACCAGCAAAGCCCTCCTGCCCTAAATGCATTTTGGCAAAAGTCCGGGTTTGACTCAAGAGAAGATTTCCTTCCCCGGCAGGACTGTCCTGGGCAGAGGGAGCTCAGTGCCAACCTCTCCTGTTCTGCAGCCCGAGCCTCTGCTGGAGCTGACAAGGGGCCAGGGAAGGGCAGGCAGGGGATGGGGCATGGAGAGGGTCCACAGGCAGCGACCATGAGCCGAGGGGGATGTGAGAGAGGCTGCAAGACACCAGATGGGCCAGGGGAGGTCACTGGGGATCTGCTCTTTACCATCTTGAGCACTCCATGGGGATGAGTGGGGCAGTCAGGGCGGCAGCCCACTGTGAGGGTCCCGTGGGCTTTGGGGATAGGCCACAGTGAGGCAGACAGGCAGGGAGCAGAGTATTTTGAAGAGTCCCGAGTAAATACGGCATCTCTCTCCACCTGCCCCCTCCTTTACGGTCTGCCTTTGCCCCTGGCGAGACCAGAGTCGGCTGCGGGAACCTCTGGGCAGTGCCATGTGGGTGTCCTATGCTCTTATGTTCAAGGAGGCACTGGGCAGGGAGTCGGGATCAGGGTTTGGCTGCACAGGGACCAACCCAGAATCATCCCACCACAGAGCAGAGGGAGCACCAGGCCTCACCTCGGTCCCCCACCTGCCCCTTCACCCAGGCGGTGGCTGCGGCGATGCTGTCAGAGCAGGTGACATCCAGGATCACCGGCTGCAGCCTCCCCCACGGC